ACCTGTCCCAGCAAGGCCTCCATTTTATGCACATTCTTGTCTGAACACTTGAGAAGGGATCGCAAAGAGGGCCAAAGCTTTGTGGGCTTTGAAGCACTTTTCAGTTTCACGCGAAGAGCTAGGGAAGGTATTGCTAAGGTCGTAAGAACCTTACCATGCGCCAGGCACCGTCTGAGGCATTTTGCAGACATCTCCTTTAAAACTATTTTTTATTACACTGCGGGGAGGGGGCGTCAGAGGACAACTTGCAGGAGGAAGTTCTCGCCTTCCATCATGTGTCGTGGAAATTGAACCCAGGACTTAGGCATGCCACTAGACCTGTGGAGCCGTCTCACTGATTTCTCCATTCGACTCCCCCCAACCCCCCTCACACACACACACATGAAGCTGCTGCAGTGCAGTGATTCCGTACATATCAGCCATTGTTGGGACTGGGTCCAAGCATTTTCTCAGCAGCTTCCTGGTGCCAGACTCCAGATTGGGGCTGAAGAGTCAGGGTGAGGTGCACCCAGGCTCTGCCCTCTGGAATAGTCCTAGTACCTAGATTTGTCCAGTCCTTACATCAGGAGATCACTCTGTCTCTCATCACATGGATTTTGAGCACTACCTTCCCTCCTGTCCACCCCCAGAGTCTCTGTACCTCCTCCCCAGCATGCCTTTCTCTCAGGTTCCAATTAGTGAAGAATTCTGGGAATGCTGCCTCCTGCAGGAAGTCTTCCTTGACTGCTCACACCAAGCCTCTGGCCTCTTATGTAATGGTCTCTGACACACATAGTGAATCCAGACAGGGGACACACTTCACATACCCCACTGTAGCCAATTCCTGTCTGGGTCACAGGTGCCAAGCAAAATGCTGTGAAAAGGATGCTGGGAACTGGAAAAGACCTGAGTGTGTGCCCAGCTCTATCCCTGGTTGAGTGGGTAGATGGTTGCTCCTGCCTGAGTCTTGTTCCCTCTTTGTGGTCTCTCCTCCATTCTAGCCCTGTGGGCAGTAGACATTACACCCTTTATGGAGGTGACAGCAAGCATCTTCTGATCCAGGGTCCTTGTTCAAGTGGCCCTCTCTGTGACCTTTCCTTCTCCTCAATAGCCAGATGTGCCTGGGGTTCCTCCTGGCCCTGCCTCACATCTAGAGTCCCTTGGCTCCAGCACATGAGCGCCTGGTATGTAGAGGGCCTCTGTACTCTGACAGAGGCCTTGGCAGGCCCAGGCTGGGACCTAGGAGTCAGGACTCCAGACTTCCCGGAGCCAGGAAGGGAGCGGCTGGGGCTGGGTCCAGCCTGGAGCCCCACAGAGGTCCAAGCCCTTGTCCTACCAATCGATGTGAGAGTGGGAGCACTTGACATCCCAGAAAACAAGGTGAGCTAGACTAAAGGGTCTTAGATATAGGCCTCTGCCAAGGGGCTGTGACAAGCCCTGCTGTCCTTCCTGAGCCTTCTGGGCCACCTTACTTTTCCCTGCAGGCTCCTGGCCATTGGGAAACGAGGACAGGTGCTTAGCCAGCTCAGGCCATGCCACTTCTCACTGGACTCCTGACTTTCCAAGATGCTTTGGGTCAGTATGGCTGAGGATGGAATGAGTGTGTCCTGACTCAAGGTGGCCAGAATAGGGAGCAAGCTGGGTCACACCATCACGAAAGAAACTGTTACAGAACTGTGCTCAGGGCCCAGCACCTAGGGGGTTGTGTCATCTCCCACTAGTTCCCACCCCATTCCCTTGTCTTCTAGCTCAGGGATGGATAGAGGTGTGATTGGGCAGGGGGAGATGTGGCCGGGCAATGGACAGGGAACAGCCAGCTTCAGTAGATCACACTTCTCAGCATGTGGAGGGTACAGGGTGGGGGAGACCTGTAGTCATGGGATGTCTGCCATTGAACAGACGGATAGGGGACAGATCTACTGTCACACAGGTTGCCTAACGTAAGGCTCTGGTGATGTGTGGGACAAAGCGCAGGGGGCAGACTCTTGAGAGAGGGTCGATGAAGGCTTCCTGGGGGGTCTATATGGGCTGATGCTGTATCCCAAACGAGTGCCAGGGGCCATGTGTATTCTTGGAACACTGGTTCTAAGCAAAGGAAGGTGGCATCCTGCCTTGCTTTGCCTTGTTCTAGCCCCACTCTTAGGTGCTGCTGGGCTTCTGCCGTCCGCTAGTCTCTTGACATCCACTGCCTCCCACTCTCCTTCCTTCGGCTTCACTCCTTCTAGGTCCTTCTAGTGGGAAATTACCAATAGGGAGCCAACCACGCCTACTTAGGGCTGGCTACAGTTCCTCCTTGATTTCTCCTAAGGATGGCCCTTCTGAAGCCCCCATGAGCCAGGGTCCTGTTGTAGTCCACTATCCAGACTCCCCATGGCCTTCAGGTTAAACCCAGACTTCCATGGGAGAGGATCCTGTGTGATCTGAACCCTGCCAATCTCCTCAGCTTCCAAGAGGCAAAGAAAGGTGAG